AGTCCCATATAGTCCATATATTGATTGCCAGAATTATATACATATAGCTGCTCATCAATAGTTGCAATACTAAGCAACCAATATTCATCAGAGAGACCGGCCTTCGAAAATTTATTGTTATAACGACAATAACAACAACAATATTTTTAGCTGGTCGGACACACATACAAGTAGCCTCTGCATATGCAATTGACCTTCGCTATTCAAAATTCTATTTCTATTTCTGCGATTTCATTCCCGACTCTCCCGGCTAGTGGGCGACCACAACAGAGTTTCCATGACAATCAATGCAGTCACTTCTCTGCCAGTCTCTGCACTCTCCATCGTCTTGGCGTACTCGTATATAATTATTCCAAATGGTTGTTTCTGTGATTTTGTGATGGCAATAACAACAACCATTTGTTTATTTGAGATCTGCTGATTCTGCTGACGAGAGCTTTGTTGTTAGCTGCTCGAGCGAGTCTAATAAATGTTCACGAGTGTAGAAGAAAATTAAAGCACATCATCTCCATTTAATCTTTGTCCAATTATCCAAATTCAATTCCTTTCAAGAGCATTCCCTTCTTCACTTTTAAAATTTCTTCAGTTAAAAAATTATAGTTGATATGTCAAGTCGAGTATTCATATTAAAGTAATTTCATTTCCAAAGATATACAAACTTATATTATAATGTTCTTGCAATTACTCTGCAAATTCTTCGCTAACTTTTGAGTAATGGACAAACGTTACTTCAAGCTGTTGTTATCTTGGATTTTTGCTCAAATAAATGATAATACATACATATGTAATCAATATCGTTAATACCTCATAATAATATACTATTTATTGTATCTTCTTTTTGTGTGGCTCACAATCAGTTATTAAATAAAATAATTATAGATTATACTCTCCTTGGAGGAGTATTATATATTGTATAAGCGGCTCTTCAGATCAGGTTACTGGGTCTCGTGCTAGCAGAGCGAGTGGATTCGGATCAACGTCATTGTGAATGCATTCGTTGCGAGTTCAAGTGATGTTTCTATCCCCCGAATTTTGTTTATACTGCCCTTCAAATCAAATACTTGTCCGGTAGATCCACACCTTTCGGTCACATTTTCAGTGAGAATTAAATCAAACTAAGAGTATATTTAAGACCTAGAGGCCCATATTCCCATTCCCTGGTGGGCCATATTCCCGCAGCGCTTGGACGCATGTTTTCTTTAAATTAAATCAAACCAAAAGTCGAAAGCGAGTTGTTCCTACTTTATGCCCTGGAGACCCATAATTCTCATTATTTAATCATTATAAGTGACCGTATAATATGAAATACTAAGTACGTAATATTGCACGACAATGTGCAAAATATAGATTGAATAATTGCAAATAAATTAACGTAATATAGTACTCGTATGATGCTGAAAACACACGTAATCAGAAATTAATCAGTGCATAGAACAGCGAGTAAATAAAGCTTGGTTTTAGAATGCAATTGAAGAAGAATTCTCGTATATTTGATCTCTTTTGACTTCCTAGAATTCTAAAGAAATTCAAATCATCATTAGCTCTATCATAAATGCATTAAATGTGCAAAAAAGATTTTGAAATCACTTCAAATGTAGAATTAAAGGCAATTAAGGAATTGTGTAAACAGAATTTTAGTTTTAAATTCATAAACAACTCTCAGATGATGATCTACGGCCAGACATCCTGTTTATTTGATAACAATTTGGAGGATTCGAAAATAAAATCTCAAATAATTGTTTGAGCCTGGAATTATATTTTAGGGTTTTTTTTTAAGCTGGCCTGCATTTTGGTTAATGTTTACAAATAAACTACGCTTTAATAACTAACTATAAAATGGCTTCAGCTTCTCCGATGGTGGGGCAATTAAATATATAGGTAGCTGGATAGCCAGTTGTTGTTGCAGCGCAGGCGGAGCTTCGATCTACTACCTGAAATAAAATTAATATGAAATATATTTTTGTTTAACACATTTTTAATTTAACAATATCTGTTTTAATATAAATCTGGAAAATATTGTTTGACAAACTTAGTTTTTGATTAACTTTTCTGTGAACTTAAATTATTTTCTAGTTTATTTAGCAACCAACAGAAACTTAAATATTGGTAATGAAAATTAATTCAATTTAAAAGAATGTCAAACAGCTGAAATTTCTTTGTTAGATAGATCAGCAATCTGTTGTTTTGTTGTGAATTCCATCTAATTTCTAGATCCACCAAAATCTAGGACTCGTTTCAGTTTTTATGAAACAAATAGTGATGATTGATAACACATATAGATTCAATTACAGTAAGAACAATTTAAATATTCAATAAATAACAATTTTATTTAATAGAAATGAGCCAATTTTAAGACTTTAGAAACTTGAGGCATCTAGTACTACTCATATCTGCCCTCATATCTTGGCATCCACGTCTACTCCATTGTGGATTGTAGATTAAGTTGGTTATACCTTAGACTTAGATCTGAAGCCAATAATATGTTAAATGAAATATTAGGAAATTAAGACAAGTCTGCATGCCAACTTTGGTGGCCCTAGGTATTATGGTTGCGCAATGCTTGAGGTTCATACAGACAGACAAAAATTTCTTAACTGAAATATGCATTGGATAGGTCAACATTTTGGGTGTTTACTGACAATCTCGAATACTGTAAGTACACATAAGTAGTTTTACTTTTTGGAACTGTGGTAATAAGCTGCGAAGCATGGAACGGCTTACAATTTCGCATTGTGTGTGTGTGTGTGTGAAATGAACGGTTATTTGTAGGAGTAGGAGTATGTGTGAAACATGTATGTGCATGTTCATACAGAGTGTATGTGTGTGTGGGTGGGTAGATTTATTTGCATTTATATAATTATTTTCACTGGTTGGGGCCATCAAAATGACGTTGCACTTTGTGAAATTGTTGGCCAAAAGCGTAATCGATATTGTAAGAGTGTGCGTGTGTTGGTTGCATGTTGTAATGAGCTCAAGTAGCGACAACGACAACAACGTTGGCTCGCTCGTGGCTAATTGCGCAGCGCCCTTTGATGTGTGCGTGTGTATGTGTGTGTGGGTATAAATTGCTGTTGTTGGCTGCCATTGCTGTGGGAAATTATGTAGTAACATGCCAACGATGGCGGTAGTGGGGGGGGGGGGGGGGGGGGGAATGCAGAGATTGAAGGCAAAGGCATAAGCGCCGGCTAGTCATCGGCATTCGCATCGGCTGTGCCGGCGACATTATGTAAAGTTGAAAATAGAAAATCGATATTGTGCGAGGCGTCAAATAACAGTTAAGTCCATTACAACAACAACAACAACTTGTGTACCTCCATAGGCTAATGTCAAAAACAGCACCCGAGAGCGTTGCGCCAACTCATGAATTGCGAAATCTCACGAACCATTGCTTGACAAAGCCACAGTGGCTGACTATTTAAGATGCCCCTTACCTACTTACCACACTATTACTTATTATTATTATTATTTCTGACCCTTAGAATTGTGTAGATTTTCCCTCCACATTCAGTTAATAGCTATAAATAACACCTAGACATCACAGCCGCTTTGAGCTGCAAATGCATTCGAAAAACGTTACAAGAAATATTTCTTTTTTTTATGGAAATATTATAAAAAATTGTTACTTTTACTTAGCATGGTATTACTTATTATTATTATTGTTATTATTTTTTCTGACCCTTAGAATTCTTTAGATTTTACCTCCACAATTTAGTTAATAGCTACAAATAACAACTAGACATCACAGCCGCTTTGAGCTGCAAATGCATTCGAAAAACGTTACAAGAAATATTTCTTTTTTTATGGAAATATTATAAAAAATTGTTACTTTTACTTAGCATGCTATTTCTTAGTATTATTATTATTATTATAATTTCTGACCCTTAGAATTGTGTAGATTTTCCCTCCACATTTAGTTAATAGCTATAAACAACACCTAGACATCACAACCGCTTTGAGCTGCAAATGCATTCGAAAAACGTTACAAGAAATATATATTTTTTTAAATGAAAAATTATACAAATTATTTATTTTTTATTTATTCGAAATTTAAAGTGTGTTCTTCCATTGCTGATGCAATCGCAAATATTAATTATTGGCAAAATTGGACGTATCACTCCTTCGAAAGAAGTTAACATTTTTTTTGTTTAACTCGTAATCTAGGAAAACTAAAAAGTGTTTTTATTTTGCATAGATCGTTCCTACATTCGCTATAAATATATTAAGCCATATTAATGAACATATACCTATTCGTGCCGTTTCAAATTTTAAGCAATTACGTAGAAATCATGTAATTGTCCAAATTTCTTCACGTATGTATTTAGACATTTCTGTAATTTGTAATATTTGTATGCATTGAGTAACTATTGAAGATCATTATAGGTAGCTCTGGCTCTGCTTTTGTTTTTTTTTATAACTTATAACCAAAGTGGTAAAAAGGGCTAACTACCCCTCAAGCTAGAATTTCCTCTTCTTATTCCTGCTCGCAATTTGCAATTAAATGCATTCTATCCATGCGCTAGTTTGCTATTCTTTTGTTTTTCTTTAAAGTTGTTTGGTTGTTTTTCATAAAGCTAGCTTTTTTTTAGAAAAGCGAATTGAGATATTAATATTTTGCATATGAAGTCACAAAAATAGCCGTCGGCTACATTTAAATGTTTGTGTTTCTAAGTAATTCGATCTTGTTCCCACTACGCCCTTTGTCGCGCATCCGAAATGTTGCTCTGCCCATAAATAGAAGAGCTTCGAAAATAACTAAAAATCGTATTACCGTAAAGGTTGACTGACATCATGACCAGCAACAGAAACAACGACAAAGGTGTTGACCGAGAAAAAAAGTTGTTTTCACTCAAAGCTTTACAAAATCGTCATCTCAATCGATATCTTCTTATCTACGATCAACAAGTTCTTGTGTGATTATTTATTGGACAAAGAAATAAAATAAATAATAATTATAATGTTGAATAATTCACATCACCTATTTACATTTACTCTATTTCCAGCAGCGGATTACTACCACGTCACATCGCACCTTAGACAGATCGACACAGCCAGGCCAGTGGAATTGACAGAAGACACGTTGCTGCATCGCCAGCGTCGAGCGGCACCCGGGCCCATCCCTGTGGCGCCACCAACGCCGGCGCCCACAGATGTCAAGAATCAGTATCAGAGCGTGAATGCCAATGCCAATGCCAACGGCAATCTGGGAAGCAGCGACACCACCGTCACCACAGTGGACAGCAATGCGGCTGCAGCGGTAGCCGCCGCAGATAGCGTCTCTTACAATGTGGGCGTTCACAATGTGGGTGTCAATGGCACGGGCCAGCGCAAGGATTACAGTTTGCAGACGGGCGAGAGTGCAGGAAATGCCGCCACCACGACCATCAATGTGGCGGCAAATGCTGAGCTCAAGAAGGGCGGACTGCAGCAATCGCAGTATCCCAAGAAGGCGACGGCCACAGCCACCCAGCAGCTGCAGGCGGCGGTGGTGACAACCACCACTACGGAGAAGCCCCTAATTGATGATGTCGACGTGTCCGAGGAGGTCATTGAAAAGGAGACCGCGAAACTTAATCTCACTATTTATAACGTAAGTTATATGTAAAATGCAATATAAAATGGCAATGAATGAAAGAAACCCAATAGAAACTATAGGGAGCAGGTGCCACCAGGATGAATACAAGTATTAAAATTAATCGTGTTGTTGAAGGCCCTTTTATGGAAATCGCCACGCGTAACGGTATTATTATATAGACTCTATATTATAGATAGTAGCTATAATTTGGGAATGAAATGGACAGTTCCGCCCAAGATTAGGTTGCCTATGTCTTCTCTCCGCTATAAAGGGAAAGTACACCTCAAATTTCAAAAAGTTAAAAAAAAAGGATTATTAATCGGGTTTCTTTAAACGAAGAACTCAAACGAAGTCGCTTTGTAGCAGCCATGTCTGAGGTTTTTATATAAATTAATGTTTTTAGTACATACATAGTTTTTTGATTGAATTAAGAATGTCGCGCTTCTCATATAAAGCGCCATACCGCAGCCCTATTTAGCAGCATTTTTATTATCAATTATACGGAATTATTTTTACTATAGAAGTAAAAATACAGCGCTTCTCCTTCGAGGCACTTAATTGAAATTACTGGACGAACATTATTTCGAAGAAAGCTGGCCCTTTCAGCCACCAAACGCTCTACACGTTGTTTACCATTTCTACCTGTTCTACGCCCTTCTATAATGTTTTTAAAACAAATGCAGACTAGAAAATGACAATTACAATACAGCTGGAATTTTCAAAAATGGCTTTTCAGAAAAGTAAATTCATCCAGTTCTATCAAACATTCGAAAACATCTGTTGGTTATTTCCAAACTCTACGTAAAAAGTATTCATAAAAATGAACTCAAAAAAATAAGCAAACTCTTGGGCATAAATATATGATACATCTTCCTAAAAAGAGGTTGTATTATTTAAAAACCAATTGATAGATTTAATAGCACTTCAAGGTTGTGAATGTGTCGAGGGCCGAAAATAATTTTCTTAAACTCGGAGAGTCCCAAACCCCTTGTGATTGGATTATAAAAGTCTGTAACTGAAGAACTAAACATGTGTTAAGGGTCGACCTTATCAACTGAAAAAGATAATCATTTGCAAAATAATCTAAGTAGTTATAATCTTATCGCATCACAGAAACATCCGCACTCCGTTCAACTAACTAACTAAGTTTTAAATAGAGCGATCAGTAAATGAATGAATGATCAGTAATTTAATAATTTGTAATGGCTATTTCTCGGCGATATAGCATGTAGCAGAGAGAAGAAATCATAGTTTCTTTAGAGAATTGTAAATCAAATTCCTTAGTTGGATGATATCAGTTTTATCTTTAAAAAGGCACTTTAAAGCATTCTTATTCGTTTACAGGAACAACACGAATACTACAACAGCAGCCTGTATGTGAATAAGGAAGAGGTGCAGTCTATGTGGAAACTTGTACAGAACATATCCGAGAACGTAATGCTCTCCTCGTCACATCGTCGCGCCATGACCGTTGAGTTGAAGTTTGACTTCCCCTTCTATGGCCACTATGTCCGCAACATAACTGTGGCCACCGGAGGTTTCCTCTACACCGGCGAGTACGTCCATTCGTGGCTGGCGGCCACCCAATATATTGCCCCATTAATGGCTAACTTTGATACGAGCATATCAGCCGAATCGCATGTGCGTCTGCAGGACAATGGTAAGAGCACAAATCCGATGCTGGACTGACTTTTGGAGCAGTCTAGTGGTAAATTCAATTTCTAAGCAAGTCTGGAGCTTGATTCATGTTTTATCTAATCACTTTATTTGGCAAAATCTCCAGTTCAGTATGTAGTTTAGTGTCATAATTTCATGAACCTCGTAAAATTTGCTAAAAGGCGCCACTTTTTAGCAGTCTGGTTTAACTTTTAAAGAACAATAGTTGCTTCAAAAGATGAAATAAAAACGAAAGAATATGTTTGCAGATGATAAATTATAGTGTAACAGTTCCGATTCTTCCATCGAAAAGTTTTGTTTGTAATATTAATTGCAAGTTTTCAATTGACGATTCAACTTTTTAGCAGTCTGGCTAAAAATAGTTGCTAGTTGAAATAAAAACGAAAGAATATGTTTGCAGATGATAAATTATAGTAAAACAGTTCCAATTCTTCCATTGAAAAGTTTTGATTGTAATATTAATCGAGATAACTTTCAATTGCTCATTCAAGTTTTCAGTAGTCTGGCTTAACTTTTATAGAAAATTATTTGCTTCAAAAGATGAAATAAAAACGAAAGAATATGTTCGCAGATGATAAATTATAGTACAACAGTTCCGATTCTAAAAACGATAGAATATGTTTGCAGATGATAAATTATAGTAAAACAGTTCCAATTCTTCTATCGAAAAATGTTGCTTGTAATATTAATCGAGATGACTTTGAAATGGGGATTCAATGCAATTCAAAGTCTGAGAATTTAGCTAAATTGCGAAAAAAGTTTAGATTTTTTGGGAGCACTTGAATATATTTGCTCGACTTTGGCAAAGGAAATACACTTGATAGTTAGCTCAAAATCAAGATTACAAGATAAATGCATTAACTTCTTCACTTCAATCGCTCTGCTTCCACCAGGAACCGCCTTCACTGTGCTTTGGGAGAATGTGGCTCTGCAGGATAAGCCCGATTACGGCAAATTCACATTCAGCGCGACACTGCACCAAAATGGCAACATTGTCTTCGTTTACTATCAAGTGCCCACGAACATCAATGGCATCCAGGACAATCAGCATCCTGTTAAAGTGGGTCTCTCCGATGCCTACATAATTGACAAGCATCTATACTGTAAGTGGCCTCAACTCCCCCCCTCAATAGAGTTTTATTGTAATCCTTTTCATTGTACCGATACAGTCTCTCGTCGCAAGACCATCTATGAGTATCATCGCGTCACCTTCGTTCAGCAACAGATCACCAATGCCACGATCATACAACTGACAGCACTGCCCACCTGTCTAGGCTACAATGACTGCCAATCGTGCGTCAATCACACGACAAGCTTTACGGTATGTAAACGAAGCACCCTCGCTTGCCAGAGCTATGTCAATGAATTGTAATTAAAGTTAACGGTAGTTATGTTCACGATAGTTATACAAATTATACACGAAATTATACACGAACAAATTAGATGATAAGAACCACTCTTATAACGTGTAGATAAGGAGGAAGAAGATAAGATAAGACTCTTTTTAATTAGTAGTAGTAGATAACTTTAAGCAAGCGTTACTTGCACCTTTGCAATGCTTCAAATAGTTTATAATAATTTCACAAAATGTATTAATGTTATAAATCACACATCTGCTGGATGCAAATTTTTCTCATGACCATTCTAGGTCTCCAGTCGATTGAACATTTTCACTGAACATTTATTAAGAAATTGGTTTGTTTTAGCACATTGTGATTCGAATTTATTTCACAGTCCCCAGATTCTAAGAACTTATCTCTCTATTCGATATAATTAATACTTTTAAGCGACATTTTCTATAAAAAGAGCTTGCTCGCAGGTTTTGATATCAGTATGAAAAATATAAACACATATAAAAAAAATCACTGCATTGCATTTGAAATATTAATCGAACATAGTGTTTTCGTTATCTTTGAAACCTTTAAAGCCAAGATTGTTTTTATTCTACGCTAGGAAGAACACATAGAGAGGGTTTTATTTAAATCATTTTCAATATAGATGTACTATCCTATGAAGTCCTATTAATGAAGTCCTAAATATATATTTCTATTAAAAGTTGATACAGTGAAATGTTCGAGTAAAGACTTTCAATACAATTGAAATGAACGCCTTTACGGTCAATGCTTTGTTACGACTTGCAGCCTAAAATAATTACTATAGTTAGATAGGCTCGGAAAAGAAGGGAGTGCGTGTATAATGTAACATGAAATAATATAAGAATCCTTTTATTTTAGTGTTATTGGTGTCCCATCATGAATCGCTGCTCGACGGGCACAGATCGCAAGAAGCACGAGTGGATGCAGAAGGGTAAGACAAGACAAGCAACTACAAGTATATACATAAATATGCCAATATGAATTCTTTTCTATTTTTCCATACAGGTTGCGATCGTGCCGCTATAAATAAATCGGAAGCATGCCCGGCGTTGGGCCAGAAGGGTAATAATGCGGGCGCTCAGGACAGTGCCAGCGCCTCCAATACAGGTGGAAATGCAGGTGCTGCGCCCGGCGCCAATCCCACTCCATCCACTGGCGCTGCATCATCGGCCACGTCAGCCACCACCGTAGCCACGACACATGCGGGCGAGGCGCCACTAAGTAGCACACAATTGCCGCCATCTGAGGCGGACAACAGCAGCAGCAGCCACAAAGACAGCGAACGACTGGACGCTGAATTGTCGGCCGTGAAAGCAGAGACGAAGAGCGTGGGCGTGGCATTTGGCTTCCTTGTGCCCATTTGTCTGGTGTTCGCCGTTACGCTCTGGCTCTTCTATGCGTACCGGAATCCACACACAAAAAGTGGACAGCTTCTCATACAGGTGAGTGGGATGCGACGACGACACCAATAACCAAATTAATTTTATTCACATTCTCCAAAACAATAATCTTTTTACATGCAGTCCAAGCATTTGCATCAGGTTGGTGGCTATACAAATAACTATTCCCCTTTCATCCCAAGTCCACAGATTTGGTTTTATTTTGCTAAAAAAGAAAGTCTAACGAATTCACGAATTTTAGTTTCAGTATGTTTTTAGTTCATCAACCTAATCTAACAGACAATTATACGAACAAGTTGCACATTTGCGCTTAACTTGTTGATTAATTTGATTATATATTATAGTAGTTCTGTAGGTATGTAATTAGTTGCTTCCTTGGTAATAAGAGTAGTCAAGCAGAATTTTAATATAAAATGTTGCTCAATCAAAAGAGTATTTCATTCGTTGAACTAGAAATACAAACAATCCTTAAAGGTACAAGCTAGAGCGGCTTTAATAAAGAAGGTTTTATCACAATTTAGTGATTTGTTGTTTAGTGATAAAGAAAATAGCATAGCCAGGCTAGAAAAACATCCTGCCTACAAACAAAAAATTATCATTAAGTGTATTTTCTTGATTTGTTAAGTTTTCTAAAGTTTTTATAATTTTTGTTAAACAACATCTCAGTTCGCTTTATTTTATCTAAAAACATACCTAATTCTTCCCTATTCTAAGGCCTCTCAGTTTATATTCGTGTTCTTCTGGGTATTAATAAATATTCAATAAATAGTATCCCACGTGGCTCCCACAAACCTGAGGCTAAGATTCTTCCTTTGGCGCCGATTCTTCTCTTGCAGTTCATTCTTCTCTCTAAATAATAACTAAAACTCCTATATTTAATGACTTTTCTTAATCGTTTTGGACTAAAATATATGGAATTTATTTATTTATTTCGATCAAAATACAAGTATGTGGAATTAATCATAAACGATCAGTGAATGACAATTAGCTTTCAACAACAACTAAATAGCTAACACATATGCTACAATCTTTGTATTTACTATTTCTTTCTTCTGGCTTGAGCGAAGATCAAGCAAAATTTTCTGTGATCTAAAAAGAATATTAATTTTTTGATCAGAAGTATCTTTTCTGATACAAGAATATATAGTTGCAGTATTTCCTAAAATGAGGACCATATAAGCATCCAATCAGCATTCAACAGAGCGCTTTTGTTAGAGATAAATGATACATGATAAGTGTGTTTCTAACATGCACTGATCAGTGATCATCATAATTGAAATAAGATCGCCTATTATGTGTTTAAAGTCGCTTGAAGTATAATTAAATAGTGTGTGTATCTATAATTTTACGTTATTCAAATTTATTTTGTTCAGCGCAGCATTTGATTCATCGGCGATCAGGGACGATCTAATATATTTTATTTATTGCAACTATTCATTATTTACTTAGTAATTGATTAGGTCTGTAAAACTGACTGACAACCAAAATCACACACCAGAGGAATATGAGAACATTTTGAATAATATTTCTACTTTAATTGAGCGATTTTTCTTAATATAATCACTTTTGATGACTATTCATAATAATATCGCTTAATGATATTTGTATTTCATGTTCAATTTAGAAGCATTACAATAATTACTCAACGATCAATTACAAGCTTATTACAAACACAACCTCTGGTGAGATTTTCCGTTGCTAAACGGTTCTGCACACGAAATGCGACTAGTTTGGGTTTAGATGTTTGCATGTATGACCGACTGCCTGTTCATATACACACTAGATATGGCTCTCTGTGGCATATAATTTAATTTTAAGTCTAATTTCTGTTGAGCTATTTTAACTATATATAGTATAGACTTGTATACATTGTGTGGAATACTGAATCATCAAAACTATATTGCTGACTCATGGATCAATTAAAATTTGTTTACAAAGAAACTGTGTTGTAAGATCTGCCATCGTGACGAACTCATTTAAATGCACAAATCGCTAGAAATGGGGCTTGTTTGGGTTCTGGTCTAGCTGTAGATGTATATAGTACCATATGTTTGCAAGTGTGATTGTTCATATACTAATATTGCTCTCTCTCTCTCTCTCTCTTTTGTAGTTCCGTCCCAGTCAGTGGTCGTGGAGGCGCGGCGAGGCGCGCTATACGGCAGCCACGATACATATGTAAACTGCAGGAAGAACAGCAATAAATAAATAAATAACAGCAGCAAAGATGAAGAAGATGAGAAAGAGAGGTAGAAAGAAAGAAAGAAAGAAAGAAAAACAATAAGAACATCAACGGCTACTTTAACTGCAATTACAATACATATATAGAGAAAACTGTGTCTGGTCTGTGTAATTCATTTTTAGTGAGTTTGTTTTTATTTTATTTTTTTTTAATATTTTTTATTTCGATTTATATATATATAAAAAAAAAGACAAGGACAAAGCAAACGGCGACATCTCAACTGCAATATCTCGATTTTAATTATTATTATTATGTGATTATGAATGTTTGCTTTTGTGCGAAAAGACAGACAACAAAAGGCAAAAACGACAGGCTGCTGTTACTATTTGTTTTTGATTTTTGTTTGTTTAACAATATTTTGATTTTGATATGCATATTTTGTTTAAAAAACATTGATACTATACTATATACCTGTTCCTGAATCTGAACATTTGCTCCGCCTAACAAGCACGTTCAGCACATTCCCCTCACAACTCACTGTCGTCCTCCCCCCCGCCCCCACCTGCCCACAAATTGTAATCAGTTTCGGTTTCTTTCAAACGCAATTGTTGTAATTAAAATGCTCTGCATGCTGTATTTTATTTTATTATTATTATTATTTTATGTTTTTTTTTTTTTGAGAAATTTCTTTGTACTATACGATACGCAAGGCTTATATACATTTATATTGCTATTGTATATATAGCATTTATATATACATATGCATTTATAAATACATATGTATTTACGATTATATCCAAGACGACCTCTTCTTTTTGTTAGTATTTTTTCTATTACCTAATATATATATATATATATATACACACAAATATATATATATACAATATAATAAATATTAAAAATAATAAATGAACATAAAAAATTAAAAAATAAAACCTACAAAAACAAAAACGGTGTGCAAGAAAATTAAAACTAAATCAATTTGCTATTAGTAAGGAAATAAAGTTAAAAGAAAAAAAAAACATATAAACTAAATGTAACAAACGATGCAAAAAAAAAAAAAAAAAAAAAACAAAAAGAAAAACAACAACTAAGAAAATTGTATAACAATGTATTTTGATAATGAAATTTGTATTATTATTTGTATTATTATATATGCATCCAGTACATGATAATGTAATTTAAATGAAACAAAACCAATAAAATATCTGATTTTAAAATGTACATACATATCAAGAACAGTACGTACGCATCAGCTTCTAATTTCATTTACCAGATACAATAGATAGGAAATCCCCATTACCAGAAAGCTGCGAATCTACTATCTGTACATTTTTCTTTGATTGGAGCGTATGTTTGTAACATTGTCGGGGTTATTAGATTGAGTTTTCTGATTTTCGAATTCTTAGAGTAAATACATTACTCGAAAGTGGAAAAATGGGCAACCATCCCAACCATCCCTCTGTAAAAAGTGAAAAAGTATTTTTGATTGTTGAGTGAAAAGAAATCATTGTGACATTGTCAATGTTATTAGATGGGGTTTATTTCGGATTTTCGAATACCTAGTCAGAGTAAATACATTACTCGAAAGTGGAAAAATGGGTAAACATCCCATCATCCAAACTCAAATGTACTCTGTGTTCGAATTGTGAAAAAGTATTTTTGACTGTTGAGTGAAAAGGAATCATTGTGACATTATCAGTGTTATTAGATGGGATTTATTTCGAATTTTCAATTTTCTACATTTTTCTTTCCATCTTAAATCTCTTCTCTGTATACAAATCGTGAAAAATGCATTTAGTTTTCGAGTGAAACGATCTTTTGATATGCGAATGTTATTCGATTGAGTTCATGTCGGATTTTTGACTTTCCAACCATTCATCAAAGTAGTAGGATTGGGTTTATTTCGCATTTTCAATTTTCTACATTTTCCTTTCCATCTTAAATCTCTTCTCTGTATACAAATCGTGAAAAATGCATTTAGTTTTCGAGTGAAACGATCTTTTGATATGCGAATGTTATTCGATTGAGTTCATGTTGGATTTTTGACTCATAATAGGTCCGCTTCAGTCCCGATTATTAATCGATTTTGTTGATGCTGCACTCTAGTCTCTCAGATAGTAAATTTTTTTTATACCCTGTACCCGTAGGGTAAAAAGGGTATATTAGGTTTGTGCAAAGTATGTAACATACAGAAGGAAGCATCTCCGACCCCATAAAGTATATATATTCTTGATCAGCATGACGAGAGAAATCGATCTAGACATGTCCGTCCGTCTGTCCGTCTGTCCGTCCGTCTGGATGAATGCGAGGATCTCAGAAACTATAAAAGCTAGAATAACCAAAGTTGGCATCCAGATTCTCCTAGGTCCGAGAAAGGACGAGTTTATTTTATTTTTTGGAATTTTCCCCCCCTTCCCCCGCTACAGAATTTCGTCAATAGCGTCCACATTTCAAATGCTACCTAAACCAAACTTTACACACATAATTTATATATAATTGTCTACTGTTGTTCAAAATTTTAATAATTAATTTTTCAATTCGGTCAATTCTAAGAAAAGTTATTAGCGAAACAAATTCTCGCCAGCACAACCCCCACAAACTGCAGCAACAAGTTCGCTCTTCTTCTTCCTCTTTTTGCTGCTGCTTTGGGCGCATATAACTCAGTGGCGGAAGTTTACCTGGGTACAGGGTATTACACTGTCGGGCTTGCTCGACTGTAGCGTTCTCTCTTGTTTTTAGTTAAAACGCAATATGAACAACCTTTAGAGGATTACGCATTGGAATTTATGCCATTGGCATTGACTTTATAGCACTCGTGCTAGCGCCTGCTTTGTCAATATACCTCTCTGTGTGTCTAGTCTAGGACGTGACCGAATATGGCTTCCCTACAAGGAAATATTTGTACTTTCCATAATGGATGGCCATTCTACTGAATTCTTCTCGGTTTCTTCTTCGGCTTTGATAACGAAATTTAATGTTAAATGCTTTTCAAATCATTTCCTATCCTATTCTCAACATACTGTTTGTTTCCTACTTATGGGGACTTACGTAAGTTTGAGGCACTGGTTGGCTTCGCTTTATTTGCTTTATATGGGACATATTTTTTTGAGGGTGTGAGTCATGGGTTAAGCTTTGCTGTTATTTGATTATTAGCAAGAACTGCCTTACCATAGCACTGCTGTAACATACAGAAGGAAGCATCTCCGACCCCATAAAGTATATATATTCTTGATCAGCATGACGAGAGAAATCGATCTAGACATGTCCGTCCGTCTGTCCGTCCGTCTGTCCGTCCGTCTGTCCGTCTGGATGAACGCGAGGATCTCAGAAACTATAAAAGCTAGAATAACCAAAGTTGGCATCCAGATTCTCCTAGGTCCGAGTAAGGACGAGTTTATTTTATTTTTTTTAATTTTCCCCCGCTACAGAATTTCGTCAATAGCGTCCACATTTCTATTGCTACCTAAACCAAACTTTGCACACATAATTCATATATAATTGTCTACTGTTGTTCAAAATTTTATTCAATTCGGTCAATTCTAAGAAAAGTTATTAGCGAAACAAATTCTCGCCAGTACAACCCCCAAAAACTGGAGCAACAAGTTCGCTCTTCTTCTTCCTCTTTTTGTTGCTGCTATGGGCGCATAAAACTCAGTGACGGAAGTTTACCTGGGTACAGGGTATTACACTGTCGGGCTTGCTCGACTGTAGCGTTCTCTCTTGTTTGTTGTCAAATACAGTTATGAACAAGCAGTGCAATTTGTCTTCAATCAAAATAATTGACTGTCGCTAATAACAGCTGTTCAACGGAATAATTTTGAATATAACAATTGAAGCCACATCACAATTCTTTTAAAAAAAGCCACTCCAAATGCTTGGAATGCCAAAGCCGAGCAGGTGGTTCTATTATGACAATCTGATAGGCTGATAAACAAGCAGTGCTCCTTTTTTTCGCTAAAAATTATTGCCTGTCGCTCATAACACACAGTATACATATGAATGTGTGTGTTTGTTCAACTGCAGAATTTTGAAAATAACAATTAAAGCCTCGCCACAATTATGCTATTTTTTTTTTAAGAGCTTTAGCCAATCCAAATCCCTTGAATGCCAATATTTTACGCTCTAATATGACAATCTGATGGGAAGTCCAAGCAGTGTCACTGCTTTTAGATCTTTCGGCACTGCTCTTAAAATTGCTTACTTCGAAAACTTTATTTGAAAATGAGCGTTGTGGTCCAGTGTTTTAAGCCCTGAAAAGCATTCCTGAATAAACGAACACAATTGAAATTCAATAAAAGTTTATTTGGACTATTTGGTCTTTAGTTTACATGCAAGTTCGTTAATATTTGTTGGGAATTGTTGTTGTTGCTGAAACATTTACATGGAGGTGGTCGTAATTAGTTTTGCTATTCCAGTTGTTGTTTTTGTATATACTTATATTTTTTTGTCGGTACATTATTACACTTAGGGATATACTATACATACGTAAATATACATATATATGTATGTATGCATGTATGTGTATGTTTGTATGGGGAAGAAAACCGTTTGATTTCTTGCGAATATTCAGCTAAATTTTGAACTAAGTTAACAGCTAAGGGCCAGCGTTTTGGATAAGTAGAACTTATAGTTTCTGCTGGGCCAACTCCTCGATGGTACGGGCATTCGTGAGGGTTACCCACAGTGGTGACTGGATGCTCGCCAAAGAGAGACACTCGGCTGCGTCCAGGGACTGTGACTTGCGTAGGCCGCCGCTTGTTGATGCCCCGCTGCCCCGACTACTGCTGCTGCCACTGCCGGTGGCGCCACGTCGTCGGTCACGCCTCGAGTCGCGCTTCACAAAAGCAACGGCGCCCTCCTCGCTGGCTGTTTGGCCACTGCCTCGGAGCAGCTGTAGGCGACTGCGTCGCTTGGCCAGCGCCATCGACTCGACCCCAGAGCTGGAGCTGGAGCTAGAAACAGCAGCAGGACCGGTGTGTGTCTCCCGCTCCCGCAAGCTGGCCGTTTTGCGCAGCTTCGTCTTCAGCGAGAGCATCGGCTGCGGTTGTAGGAGATGTGACGTTGGCGATGGTGACGACTGTGGCTGCTGCTGCTGTTTTAGTTGCTGTTGTTGTGGTAACTGTTAGCTCGAAGAGAAAGACATCTTGTAGGAGTTGGTGTCCATGGGTGACTCGGGATTAAGTATTTCGGTTTGCGTCTGCTCCACATCACTGCAGCGCTCCTCCAGCACCGTGTCCAGTTCCAGCGAAGTGAAGCCCTGACTTAGGCTTCGTTCAGGACGTAGACTGATAGCTCGCGACGATCGGTAATCTGTGAGGAGACGAAAGTCCAAATTAGTATGCAAGACAATAGCCAAGACGAGAGATTGAAGATTGAGGGTGTGAAGAATCAAATGGAAACGTGCGAATAGTTCGACTGCAATCTAGAAGATAAAGAGATGAATAAGATGATGGTGTCAACTCAAAAAAAAACCTGTCAAAACGTGTCAACCGCAAAAGGATGTTCTCGAGAGATCGATGTTCTCTAAAGGGATGGATGAGATGATGGTGTCAACTCAAAAAAAAAAAACCGGTCAAAACGTGTCAACCGCAAATGGATGTTCTCGAGAGATCGCTTGTCGATGCTAATGCCAATGTCCAATAAACCCCTTTTCAGTGGGTCAACATTTTTCCAAAAAGTGACTAACTATAGATAACGACCTAGACTTTACGTTGATTGGAATTTAGTCAACTGAAAGGAATAGTTAGTACACACAATTTTTTCCTACATATAGCAATCCCTAGATTCTAGCATTTTTCTTAGTACATGCTGAATGTTACAATGTTGTTTAAAATGGAACTACGACCAAGGATTATTTGAAAATGTTTCAGAATTGCTTTGCAGAGTCTTGTATATCCTGGAATATCGCAAAACTGTAGGAAGTTGTGCTCGAAAATCGTCGCCTTCACATTAAAGAGATAGCAGCGGTTCTCAACATCTCTTTTGGATCGACTCAACACATTTTGGTTGATGACTCTTTTCCTGTTTCCGAAACTCGAATATCCGCATCAGTAGTTAACCCAAAAGAAAACCTATTTTGAAGACTTTTATACAGATTTGAACTAATTTATACTCAAAACAGGTTTCCTTTTTAAATAGTCCGTGGCTTTAAGTACATTCTTCAAAATTAAGAAGGATATCTGAGTAGGATTGAAAACGTTTAGCTTCAATGATGAAAACACTAGTGAACAAAACCCCGAAATATAAGTTAAAGCGAGCTATAATTCAAGATTTTCTATCTTAATTTGTTCACCTTTAACTTCACCTCAACAATTACTAATGTCAGTACAAAAGTTATCACAAATAAACGTTTTACCTTTTAAAAACATAATCTCCTTACATTAATATTTATTTAGTTCCTTTATATAAATCCACATACATCTGCATTGGTATTTTAATTAATTGTTGTTGTTTTTTTTTCTCATTTGAATCTCCCTGAATTCCAAGTGCAAAAATTTAAATCCAAATTTAATTTACCCAAACCAACATCAATTCTTGGAATAAGTAGAAAACGTGACTTCATTTGTTTGCAACAAAATCGAATTTATTATTTATTACCGAACTGCCCGCCCAAAACTAACAAATAATCATAATAAAAATAAAATAAAACGATTTATGATGCCGCTGCAAATGGAATGAAAATGCGGAATACGTGTTATTGAATAGTTCGGCTGAATTGCTAATAACAATGCCATTGATCCATAAATATTTATTGGCCACAGCCAAATCAACAACACGAAACAATTCTCTACTTTGTAAGATTTAAATTTCGCTAGCCCAGGAAAAATAATTGCACATGTCTGTGTTTTTAGCTTAAGAAACAAATTAGGCATAAATGCAAACAATTGATAGTTTTCAAAACAATAAATTCCATTTTGTAAAGTATTTAAATAAAATTGCAAATGGTTGCTAAATTTCAAGGTATTTATAAAGCTTTCCAAAAATCGCCAAAAAGTACAACTTATATCCGATTGATGTATTTACATTATACCTGGCTATTTTTTCCACCAATCGGGGAACAATTTCTTTCCAGTAGAAGAGCTTTTCTGCTTTTTATTTACAATTTATTTATTTACGATCTGTCTTAAAACAATAACTAAATTAGGGTAGCTTTATTTAAAATTAACAGGAATAGAGAGTTTCCAGTGAAACCAACTATTATATTTTACATATTTTCTATGTCAGACTGATGAATATACTTTTTGATTATCTTTCCGGGAGATCGAGAATATGTATTCTTTTAAGTCTTCGTCTAGTTATACCATTATCTGTTAGACTTAAGGCTAGGAAGTATGGCAGGTACAAGACATATCTGGAGATATTCTAACAGTCAGTAACTGTAATCGTACACTTATCAAAATATATTCCCGTATATATGAGCATTGCGCACATACTTACATTAGGAATTATTTTAATCAGCTAATTAACAGTCCTTTGAAGATTTGTTTTATTATTTATGTGTGTTAATAAATTTACAGATACCTATTTAGTTTAGGAAGATGAGGTTGTGAAATGAACCTAAATGGGAGATGTCCCACTCGCAACTGGAATGTAGTTTAAAAATGTTAAAGACAAGGCCTCGCTGTTCCAGCCAGTTAATACTGGCTAATGGCTTAGCGAGCTACTTATGATAGTTTCCTTATTTCCTGCTATTCATGCCTTGTCCTACAAAGTATGTTCAGTGAAAACTCCCTTAACGAACATCTCTTTTATCCGAACCATCTCTTCGGCGGACTCTTTTCGTAAAACATTCGATCGGTGTGTAAAGTATTTAAGTATCCCCTTGAGCGGACAAAAATTGGCCGACCTCGAGCGTCCGGCCAAGAGAGTTTTCACTGTAGAACCTATATTGCAGTTCAAATTCCTCTCCAGACTAGGTATCTCCAATTCTTCTTAGCAGAATGTTTCAACTCATTTTTGTCAATAACTCATTTCATTCCCATGCTTGGTCCACTGCGCAGCTTAAATGTTCAATTTATGAAAAAGCATTTTAATCTAAGCGCACGAACTCGCCAATTCATTCATACACACATAATATAAATACACATACAAGTACATCTACAAACTGTTTAAGCGCACATTTGCGTAAACTCTGGATCTGGGCTGTAGGGGGGTGATGGCGATGAAGAGCTTGGCAGCTTAGGTGGTCGGAGCTGCCCGAATTCAGACGGCTCTTGCGGTACGCTATGCGTAATTGTTTCAAAATTTATGCAAACCAAAATATGAGCGGATTGGGAGCAAGCAAAACAAGTGTACAAGTGTAGTTGGTAGTTTGTGGTTGGCAGCGAAGCCATCAACGCTGTCGTCGCTGAGCGCCAAATGGGTGTTGATGCGAGCTGGAGTGCCGCCCCCACACATACACACGCACACACACACACAAACAAGCAAACACTACCCAGTAGGATTCGAGGTGCATATTTCAAGCGTCTCTTTTCTGTTAGCTGTCTATTCGTCCGATTCTTAAAATACGAGTACAAGTATGGAGAAGATAGAGCAGAGATATGTATTGACTCTACACGGTCGCAGCTTCCATTACATAAGGGTAAAAAGTTCCAGAACTTAACCTAAAATAACAACAATATCCAAATTAACTTAACTGCTTACTTATGTATATTGAACGTAAATATATGCCGATTGTTTAGGTTATACTTATATATTATATATTATATTATATATATAATCAAATAGTCGCCTCTGGTGATGGACAAAATTAATTAAAATAAATTAGAAACGTAATATTTCTATCCGATGTGAATCGGCTTTCGAAAGCCCCTAAATCAAACAGAACAATTCCTAAGTCTAAGTCAGTCAGTTTTACAAAAAGGAAATGAAAACTGATTACACAGAAACAAAAATAACAACAAGAAAGGAATGCTAAAGTCGAGCAGACTCAACTCTTAAATACCCTGTACCACCGCACAAAAAATAAATTAAATTAATTTAATTAAATTAATGAACTAAATTAATTAATTAATGGAACAGAAAAAATGAACAAACTCGTCCTTTTCAGGGGCTCAGGAGAATCTGTATACCAAGTTTGGTTGTTCTAGCTCTTTTACTTTCTGAGATCCTTGCGTTCATACAGACAGACGGACATGGCTATATCGACTCGGCTTATCATGCTGATCAAGAATATATATACTTTGTGGGGTCATATCTTGGTTAGCATTCGCTAGACATACTTTCTTAATTCCTAGCAAAGCAAAAACTGTTTTGTTGACAAAAAAACATTTGGTATATATTTGAAAAAAAAAACGAAAAAACCTACAAAAGAAAACCACAATAATATGTGATGGGTTCTTTTATCGGTGCCTTAAAGCCAACTAAAATGTCAACAATAGGTATGAAGCCCAAAATCATAAAATATATTGTTTTAGCAAAAATTGACGATTTACAACTAAACCTCATTATCCTGTATCCAAAAGACACACATGGCAACAATATTTATGAAATGTATTTATTCTCTTGGAACTATATCTGTTTTTAAACAAATTTATTGCTTTTCTGTATTTAAGTATTTTTTTTAATAATAATTTGAAAACTAGTACTATACCCTTTTACCCGTTGTGTACAAATTTTTGTTGTTTCTTTTTGTGGATAAATGCAGGGTATTGAATAGTTGAGCCCGCTCGACTATAGCATTCCGTTCATGTTTTCTTATAATAGTATAAAGGCTTAGCAAGAACACAATAACCTTTTTGGCTGGATTTTGTTTTTCTTTAAAAATAATGTTGCTTCGTTCCAAGGCCCTTTCGAAATATTTACGAGGATCGATGGTTCGAATATAAAGTACCAATAATTTGACAGCAGTCAGTCAGGCTTCTTGATTAATTTTGTTTATACACAAAGAAGAACATAGTAAAGAAAATATTTGAAAACATCGAAGACTTTAAGAGAACTGTTTTCTAAAATTAAAACAGAGGACTGCCTTTAAGTTCTAGTTTCCCTTACGAATGTCTGTTTTGAAATCAATGAAACTTTGGTATTGGATCATTTAGACAAAGCATTTGTGAGCATTTAATTGTGGACGTAACTTTCTGTTGTTGAACAGGTTAGAATACATACACAGTTCCTACTAGGTGTGTAGATGTGCAATTTACAGTTATAAATATGTCACTTGAAGAGCGTCCGTGCGGGTGCATGGCACCATGATGAAAGAGCGCAGCCAGCGTGGCGCGCTGGGCTTTAAATGAGGGCAAGCGACTGCTCGTACATCCCGCCAAAACCCCCCACCCAACAACACACACACACACATCCACACACTAGAGATGTGCATGGGCCCGAAATGAACTTTTGGAAACACGCACGCGCACGCACGACTATGATATTTCTAAACACGGCCCAACATGAACCTGTTATAACCATTAAATGCAAATTATATAGCCGATATAGCCATGTCCGTCTGCCTGTCCGTCTGTCCGTATGAACGCAAAGATCTCAGAAGGTATAAGAGCTAGAATAACCAAACTTGGTATCCAGATTCTCCTAAGTCCGCGAAAGGACGAGTTTGTGTTTTATTTCTAATACATACAATAATTTTTTTTTGTTAATTTAATTTTCTTTTTTTGTGGAGAGTTCAGGGTTCTCTCTTGTTTTTTTTTTACATCTTTAAGATGTCTTTCGAATTATAAATTGTCGTCAACTTTTGCTTATTAGCAAGAATATATATTATTGATCAGTAAGACAAGACGAGTCGATGTAGCCATTTCCGTCTGTCTGTCCGTCTGACCGTCCGTCGGTATGAACGCAAGGATCTCAGAAAGTATAAGAGCTAGAATAGCTAAACTTGGTATCTAGATTCTCCAAAGACCGAGAAAGTACGAGTTTGAGTTTTTTTTTTCAAACACGCGTGGCACGACTGAGAACACGGCCCGTGCCCAACCCTAACACACACACACACACATACTAACATGCATGCATGCTAGCAAGCATATGGCTTTGGGTGTGTGTGTGTGTGTGTGTCTGTGTATTTGTTAGCGCGCTGTTTTTATTGAGTGGCTGCGACAGCGCGCAACAGTCGTGGTGCATGGCAGGCGTTCAACCCGCATGTTGGCAAAAGTTGTACGTTCGCTGATAGTCGTAGTTGTACGAGCAGTGTGTTGCATACATTTAGGCGCACACGACAGGCAGCAAGACAATGGCCCAGCAAGGAGCATTGCACAAAAAAACAAAAATATACACAAACAAGCAGAAATAGAAATAAACCCAAAAGGCCTGCTGCTGCTGCTGCAGGCTAACTATTTATTTATTCATGGCCCGGTGATTGCTGCTTTCAGCTACCATATGGCAGGTGGCATGCTGCTGGTGGCATGTTGCAGGTTGCAAGTTGAAGATAGCCGCCTGTTGGTAGTTGGCTGCAGGTTGAATTTTTTATGCCGCTTCAAAAGACTCCGAATGCCTAGAGTATGCATACATGTATGTGCATGCTTGTTTGCATGTATGTGTGTGCCACTGATTGCATTGTTGTTGCCACTGTTGTTGTTATTGTTGTTGTGGGAACATGAGCATGAGGTGTGTATGACCGTTGAGTTCAAAGAGCACATCGCACATAACGCCCGATATTGCATATTTGGCCACAAGCAGCTGTTGGCTTTTTGGCCAAGAGGCAGCTTTAAACACACCAGAAGGTTGCCACAATCAAACAACAGAAAGGCTTCGAGTAGACAAGCTACTTAAAGTGCCGCAAATAATTTCAATTTGATGTGTCATTTAGTTAAGTCTCAAAGGCTAGTGGCACAAACTATTTGGTACTCACTTTCATATTTAAAAGCTTCACAAACAACACTTGCAGCATTATTATAATGTAGAATTACGCATGTTAACCTGTCTATTTCAACTCATCATCTGATTGGCATTAAAAAGTCTTCAATTTATTGATTAGACTATCAATGCCTTTTAATAATTGAATATGAAAGTTTCAAACAGAAATCAAGAAACTCCTCATAGTACATCTGCAAAACCCACTCATGATCTTCATTTTGAGTTTCTGCAAATTATCTGCTTCAAAAGACATCTCAATCCAAATAATGAAAATGTTAAAAATATGGGAGGAAAAAAGAGAAAAAATATCAAAGAAGACTAATAATAAACCTTCCCCCAACGGTGAAGTGATTCTCCACATTTAGCTTTAAACTAAATTTTATCTTTTATTATTCAAGTATTTTAATTTGTTATTTTAAATTATTCATTTAGTTATACCTCTTTTTTATTTTATACTGCCATTTTCTTCTCCTTTTCTTTTTTGTTAGGTCTAATAATGTCTCTGACAACTCTCTGCTGTGAATCGGGCGTATCGGCAAATAAAATTCCCCCACCGAGTCGGATTCGTTATTAAACATTTTTGTTATTTTTATAGGCTTTGTTTTTCTTTAGTTTCATCTAGTATAAGTTCTGTATTGTTTCGATTCTTTTTTTCCCCACATCGACAGCTCTTTTTGTCGATAGATAAATAAGTAAATAAATAAAAAAAACAATTCACAGTCCAATGCACACAATAAATAATTCAGAACCATACTTCCTTCTCTGAAAGTCCACCTGGCTAGTGCTGCCACAAACCTATAGAATATCAGACATTGTGTTGTGTTTAAAACAAATACAGGGTGCAGCAATGTTATAAGAATCTTATTAAAATGTTTTGAATTTGTCTAAAGAATATGCATTTGATAGTGAAATTTGAATTTTATATTATTGTTTTTTTTTAATTGTGAGATTTGTGTTAGAAATATTCACTCTTGGAATTTCATACAAAAAAAAAGTAAGCAATCGATATCGAAATACTAGTAATATTCACGAATTTAAGCTCAATCATATCACCTATAAGTTTGTTAATGAAAAGTATGAGTTTTGTATTCATTATGTATTAAAAATAATCAGCATATTAATTCATGGAACAAATGTCCAAATGGAAGCCTGGATCTGTCCCGCCTTCACCATTCACACTTACCCTTTGAGTGCAGGGTATATAAAGACTTTTTATCTAAAAAAGAAACTATTAAAGCTGAACATTGTTTAAGCAATAAATGAATGAAGAAAAGTTTGAAAAGATATTGACACTATCTAGTCGATAAAAGTAGAAAAGTTAGGCGAATTCCAAGGCAAATAAATATTGGACTTATATGTAAATAGTGGACAGTTAATTAGGGCAACTTAATAAGAGCCTTTAAACAAGAACTCAACTATATGCGCGGCACACAACTAATTGTTAGCCAATGATTTTTTTACGACCTGGTGTGTTTTACTTTTTATTATTTTTTTTTTTTGTATATTTTTGTGGGAGGACACAGGCGGGCCACACATTACTATGCGGGCATTTTAATTATGCACGACGTGATAAAGAAACTGAAACTGTAACTGAAACTGTAACTTATTTTTGGTTGGGTTTGTTTATGTTATTTGTTGTTGTTGCTCTTTTTTTTGTTTATTGCCTGCTTCAGTGTTTGTTAGGGGGCGTTTCTTTTTTTAACGCTCGGTATTTGCAATTTAAAATTCAATTTATGCAAGAAAAACAAGCAAAGTTTTTCCAACGCACCGGAACGCAACACAAGAGGAAATAAAGAGCCACGAAATGTTGAAACTTAAAACGGCAAAATGGGCTGCTCGCGAGAAGGGCTGTTTTTCGATGGCTAATGGGGGAAGGGGGGTATGTGTGGTTGTAGTTGTAGGTGCTTTATAAAAAATATATAAAAAACAAGAGACACACATTGTCTACGGCAAGGCACACACCAAGCGAGCCAAAAAGAGAGAGAAAGTGAGACTAAATTAAAATTACTTGTCTAATAGAGAGCTATATTAAGAAAAGTTAGCATGACTTCTAATTGAAAGCGAAATTCTTGTAATATGACATGTGATATGATGTGATATATATTGCGCTGATCGCTGTGATTATTAAAGATGATGTGATATGATAAAATATGATGTGATATGATGGAAGATAATGTGACATGATTAAAGATGATGTGATATGATGAAAGATGATGTGATATGATTAGAGATAATGAGAGATGATGTGCTAGGATCTAATGAAACGTGTTGATTGCGTCTATCATTCAGAATATCAAGTCAATCAGTCAATCATTAGCTGAAATTACGAAACGAAAACACATTACAACATTCAAACTCACTAAGCCTATGAATTGGACTAAATCTGACCAGGCTAACAGCATGGTCCTGCATGTCATAGTTTCGGCGACGATCCCGTTCCCTCGCCAGCTTGGCCCGGCGACGCAGACAGCATATGACGATCAGAGCCAGTATGGGAAACCCAAAAATACACGAAACAATGGGTATCACAATCGATTCGGGTGAAACTGCAAAGACAACAATCAGAGTAATAAGCAATTAGTTTTTGAGAATTTTTAGAAAGTGAAGTAAATAAGGTCTCCAATTTGATTTCAATTACATTTTCCACCAATTTCAAATGCTTTTCGTCTTATATTTATTTATCGAACAGGTTCTTTGTAGCACCAGTAAGTTTAATTTAATTTATTAAACAAACTTTGTTCATAAAACCCAAAAAGAGTAACGTGCAATGCTTACATTAGCATTAAAGTCTGACGCAAAACATCTGATGTCTTATGAGCTGCAATGGAAACGATTTCGAAACTCAGTTTCGATTTCAATTACGATAGAGAGAGAGAGAGAGAGGGAAACGCATTGGTTTGCTATCTACGTCATTCCGAATTAAGGATCTCAATCTATTTGCGGCAACACAGAGCCATTGCTTCAATGACAATTGCTGCGTCATCTTGACTTATGCATTCGCATGAACAATAATTTCATGCCAGATGTTTAATGGACTGCACAGCAACAATAACAATAGCAATGGCAACAACATTAGTGCTAGGTACCCTTTGTTATGCAACAATAAATGTTAATGTGCTTTCACTTTTTGTTTGCTCATGTGCCTATCCTCAATGCCTAATGTCTGCCAGCAGCTGCTGTTGTTGTTGCTGTTGTTGCTGCTGTCACACTCCTGCCGGCAGTTGTTATCGCAGTTGTTGCCAAAGCCGCATCCCCAACAACCAGGCAGCACGCATATATCCGTATTTGTTAAATTGCTGCGGTCATCCCGAGCTGCTTTCATTCAAACGCTTACACACTTATCTCCCCCCACCATGTTAATTTTAGACGCAATTTAAATATAATTATAACAATGCAAGCCCACATTCCACAAGGCAGCACATAATGAGCAGAAAATTAATTCAATATAGAGGATCATTTCGACAAAGCACTTCTCCACCACCTTTTTTTTTGTTAAGCTTCTCTTTAAATTATCAAAGCTTTCCATGTTGGCTTTTAAACACTAGACAGGGTGCCTGAGCATCCAAATTCTTTCTGAAAAGTACAAATTTGTTGCCTTGATAAGCAGTTCACAAGCAAACCCTAAGGTGACTGTCCTGTTTAAAAAGGAATCGACACCTTCGACAAACACTCAAAAGGGTCAAAATTAATTCGCCATACCTGCAATAACGACAAGAGGAAGTCAGATGTCCTTACCTAATCTGACATAAAACAACCGTAAATAAGCCTTTAAGTAGACAAGACGTACCGTAGGCTAACATTGGCTTAAGTACTTATGTACAAATAGATATATACTTCTTGCAACTATAGACTACTACTTTGCTATTGAAATTCATTTTCTTCTACAATCACTATAGAGAGCCTTACTTTCAGCCCACCCTAGAGCAGAATAGGACACATTTAGATGAACTGCCCAAAGGTCTGATATTTATCAAATACTTTGCCCATTAAAATGAATCTCCTAAAGTTCTCACATCTATGGATTACAATATGTGTTTCCCTAGATGATTAAACTTGAAGTTATTAGAAAAAAGACGATAACTCAAAACCCACTCGAGATCATCAGATCATTAGGCAGCTACAGTAACGTCAGCTTTAGAGCGTAGGAAAGTAGGGAAGTTTTCTGCTTAGATAGATGGATTCGTATCAGCCTCTAAAGAGCATCATGTTGTACTTTAAATAGCTCTGAATACCAGGAAGGTTCTCTATAGCAAAAAAGTGAGCGTCAGACCAAAAAGCATGTTCGCTTTAGAGCATAAGAAAATAGAAATCTTATAGATACAACCCTATCAGCCACTCAAAAGCATAAAAAAAAATATTATTTTTGCTCTAAATACCTCTGAATACTAGAGCGGTTCTAAATAATAAATAAACAAGTGAGCATCAGATCATAAATCCACAACAATGGATGACTCTCTTATCATGCCTAAGTAAGGTTAGCCTTGGAGCCGACTACAGAGTCTAGATATTAACAACGCTATGAAAGGAGCCAACACCTAATGAATGCCTAATTCCTTTATCGCATTAAAGCTCATTTGAAATTTTACACAATTTGTGAAACACTTTTAATCGATTTGATGCTAAATTGCCGCAATTTGCTTAATCTGAAACATTTTCAGCCTCTAAGCAGACTTCATATACACTGATAAAAAAGTTGCATAGTACAGAGGAATATTTTCATATTCTTTTTAATGTTATACAATTTAATATTCAAATCAAGTATAAACATCGTAAATTTAAATAGTAACATATTCAATTACTGATTTAAATATGAATAATATTAACAAAACAAAGTGTAAATCTTTGTCATTAGAGTGTGGCATACTGAATTTAATGTCTAATATTTAATTTTAATATACGCCCACTTCAAATAACAGATAGTTGAATTTACTATATTCGATAGTAAAGTTTAATATTTTTCTCAAATTTAATTTGACGTTTTTTAGTCGATTCAAAAAATATACTAGAAATATATTAAACTTTAATTGACTAGAATTCTCAAGTCGATTTTCAGCAGCTGTGTGGTATAAATACATACATATATGGTCGTTAGGTATCTGTCAAGTAAGTGTATTCAATCAGCTTTACTTCACTTTTTATATTAATATTCATCTAAACTATATAAAAGGCATAATTAATAATAATAAGAATTAATTAATTAATTACCAAAGGAATTTCAAAAGTACTTTCCCCTAATAATGGTTCTATATAAAATATGTATTATGGAAATGTCCTTATTGAAGAGAATTAAATACAGTAGAGTAGACAAAGTGGGAGAAATATTTTATAATTATAAAATATGTGAAATGAGTTACCGCATCAACTAAAAACAATTAGCAGCGAAACGCACTTTAGAGTTAAGATTCAAGCACACTTAGAAAACGTTATTTTAGAAAACGGTGTATAAAGTTACCTAAAACTTAATATCAGCCACGCACTTAGTTTAGTAAAAATAGGCAAAATAGATTAAGTATAAAACTGATAAAACAAACTTAAAAAAATATATAATAATTAAAAAGATTAATAAAAATGTTTAATGTGAAAATAAAATAAAATTAATAATAACAAAATAACCTAATAATAATAATAAATAAAAAATATATAATTATTACAAAGATTAATAAAAGTGTTTAATGTTAAAAAAAAAAAATAAAAAAATAACTTAATAATAAGCTCAATATAATTAAATTTGTAATGACTAGCGTAATAATATAAAAGTAATCCAATACTTGTAACGCTAGGATAAGGCCTATAAATAAATAATAATAATAAATAAAAAAATATATAAAATTTATAAAAATTAATAAAAATGTTTAATGTTAAAAAAAAATTTAAAAAATAACTCAATAATAAGCTCAATATAATTAAATTTGTAATGACTAGCGTAATAATTTAAAAGTAATCCAATACTTGTAACGCTAGGATAAGGCCTATAAATAAATAAATAAATAAAAAATAAACCTCTGCTGTGAATTAAACCCACGTCCACATCGTCATTTGTGATTTAATATCGTCACACTTTAAATTTAATATTTTAATATTCAACTTGAAATTGAAATTAAACACACTACGGTGCAAGGTCGATGGTAAACATATTTAACTCTACGTGTAAACATTTAAATTTACGTGGTTTTTTTTATCAGTGTACGAGTACGTGTACTCGTATAGCTGCTTCGCGCTTGCTATCCGGCCAACATTTTTTTTCGTACTGCCATTTTTTTTAACGACACCAACAACCAGCAACCAAGCCCATTCCCATTCCCATTCCCATGCCCATGCCCTGTGGCATGCCAGGCACCATTTGCATTTCCTTTCCTTGATTTGGGACACTGTCCACTGAATGCGAATGCGAATGCCATGCCGGCTGGCCGCATCTTGGGCTCGAGGGCGGACTCTAGTCGCTGTCCTTATAGCTGCTGTGCTGTGCCCTTTGGTTTTTAAGGGCCAACTCGCTCTGGGCTGTCATAAGCATGAAAATTATTGTTGCGCCTTATTAGTCGCATATTTTTAAAAGTTTTCTGTGAGCTTCCTTCGCCGGTCCGAGCACTTAACCCAAAAACAAAACGGCAAACGATGTCTATCAGCAATTTTGAGGTGACGCGGTTTTAATTTGTCTGCACTGCTGTTTTTTTTTAATTGCAAGCTTCTCAGACAGGATTAATCTTGATGTCCTGGGGAGACACGGCCGGAGGATGGTCGACACACTCGACTACTCTGACTGACTGCGTGACTATCCTGCTGTAAATGATGAGCGCCATTATCGCTGTAATCAGCGCTGAAAATTTGTGGACTCGAGCCGACACAACAAATGAGCTGTCATAATTATACAAGTATATGGACAAGTATGTATGTACATAGAGACTCCTGTTTGTGTTAATGGGAATATATATATATATATATATATATATTTATATGTATATATATGTACTTGTATATTTTATTTAGTTTATAGCTTATGTCTAAGTTATAACAATTAAATCCCAATTTTATTTTTACGTGGCGGAGTCTTAATGTAAAAATCCAATTGAATATTATAATTGGAAAAAAAACAAAACTTCTTATTCTTTAATTAAAAAAAAAAACAATTTTGTAATACGAGTGATGAGCAAAGTTTTGGTTTCTTCCGTTGTTCATCTCTTTTTTATATCAAACTAGTCTTTTCCATACTTGTGATGAATGTTTTTTGAAAGTTCAAGTTAATTTCGATCGCTTTCTGCTATTTAAGTGAGCTTCCTTCAATATATTTCCTTTCCTGTGATTGTTGTTTTTTTTTTTTTTATATTTCAAACACTTTCTTAACCAACTATTTGCTCATTTGTATGACGGTTACTTTTAAAATGTTCCCCTCTGATTGAATTTCCACTGCTTTCTTTCTTTCCATTCTTCTTTACCCATCGAACCTGAACCCTGACATTTTTAAGCATCTATACTAAGTATATTATGAGAGCGATGAGCGAATGATTGTATGAACAAAAGATGATAAGATAACTAAAGATTTGTGACACAT